CTAGTTCTGTGGTTTTTGTTAAGTTTTTGCATTGCTTCATGATTAGTTTGATGGGAGCAGAAAGCACTACCCTGCGATGGAATCAAAAGTATTTGCCCTCGGAATCTGATTACAAATCTCAAAAACAGCTGCCTACCTGAGTTATAGTGAGACGAACCGTGATAGCTAAGACGAATAGGCACGTTTACATCGAGTGACCTTATGGTTGGGTAAAATACATTTCTTGGATCTAAAAGAAATAAGTACGATTAGAAAACATAATGATCGCACCAGTTCCATTAGATTCAGAACGTACTCTCACTGTATTCGTAGATTTCAATGGGACGCGCAAACATTTCCGAGATGGCTTGGAGTTCCACATGATTACCGTGCGCACCAGGCTGTCGCTTTCGCGCAACGTAAGACGAGAAGTTTTCGGCGACAAAAGGAGCGAAATGATCTCGATTTCTCTCCTGAAAGGTAAGATTTATCGGGAAAAGGTTCGATACAGTGAGAATAAGATTTACCATATAATCCATGCAGAGTCGCCTCACTTCACCATGCATGTCCTGGTCTGCATATAGCTGATCCGCTGAAGCGAAACGTAAAATACGAGGACTGATTGCCATATTGGAGAGAAAAAACTGACCTACAGCTCTGAACATACAGGATCCATCACCTCGCACTACCTTTATCTCAAAACCACGAGTTCTTTTCAGCAAACGAGCAAAATCGGCCTCCAACTAAATTCGTCCATTTCCTGATATGATCAGAATAGCAGCTTAGCATTTAAACCTACCGCATCGTCTCTGAACCCCACATCATATTCATCGCCGGAGTTGGCTCCAGGGGAAACGGATCCCCTCCGAGAATATTCTGAAAAGCTCGATTTAAAGAAGTAAAACGAAGGACCTTATCTATCACCGCGACTCCAAAACCCAAAAAAATTTCGTTAAAATTTGCCTAGAGTTTATTTTGCACCCTAGTCACGAATGTGACGCTGGTTTTTGTCGCTTTTCACCAATCTTTCGCCAAGAATCGATAAAACCTTGCACAATAGTTGTTTTATGTCCTAAACACGAATACAACATTCGTTTGGCTGGCGCCATTTAGCACACTCCTAAGGCTGAGCCAGGCACGGAGGACTGATTCCTTCCTGCAAGGCTCAGCCTTGGCAGAGCGCAGACGATCAGAGTGTCTCAAATTAGCGCTGGCGTCGAGAATGAGAACAAGCGTAATCGAGATGCCAGACATCCCTGTGCAACCTTGAACTTTTGGTAGAAGAAGCGATGGCGACTGATTGGAGCTTACTGCCGGCAAATGGCGACAGCTCAGGATATCACATTCTGGGTCACATTCTGGCCAGGGCACCAAACAACCCTATTTCGCGAGTTTGAACAATTTCGGTGAAAAGGGGTGGGGGTGGCATCAAAGTGGCACCTATTGGCGACAAATAGCATCAGCGCCGGATATTGGATATCATCCGTGGTCAGGATACTGAATAACCTCTATGACGAAGTTTCAGCGAAATAAGTTTTCTTGAGTTAGTTGAAAAAGTGGTACAGGAATAAACGAAGATTTGCAAAGTGAAATTCCATAACGTTAAGCTGCATTCAGTTTAAACATACCATTGTGAGCATCTCTTCTCCTGTTTCCACATCGCCTTCTCACGTATGAGCCGCTTTGTCCACTAAAAAATCCAGTTACTGGTTATGCGCACGGGGGAAAGAACAAAGCAACGAACCTCGGGTCACACTGTATAGGTCGCTGGTTTTCGCAGTCGGATCCGTCCCCGCTATTGCTCTTGTGCAATATCGCCATTCACTGAGGATAACACTTTAAGCACAATACCAATAAAATGAATTCTCAAGAGACAAAGGTCAGGAAATAGAAGGCGAGGTACGCATAGAGCACATAAAACACGTCAAAGTCAGATTTTTAATTGCCTTTTGACAGCAATTCCACAATAAAAGCAGTAAAAATGTTCATCAACCGTATAACAGGCATATTGGTAGCAAAGCTCAAAAAATGCACGAGGTACTGTTAGACAGTAGGATGAGATCATGCCTTCTAAAACATGAAACAACTTTCTACAAACGCTTCAAGCTCAGCCGGACTTCTTTTGGAAGAGCAGGCCCATCCTGCTCGAATAACCGCTCGGCAAGTTGATTGTGAGCCACTTCAGTCTCGCGAACAAGCCTTCGTTCCAGTATGAATTTGCCTGGAACAGACAAAGCATAGCATCATTACTGAGCACGTTCAGTAAACTTGCAATTACTGGAAGCATGTGTGTCACAGGATTTTTTTTAGATGTAAAGGGTCTAGATCGTACCTCAAAAATTTTGGTATGTCATGAGGTCTAATCACGACACATGACCACAGTACTACTTGCTGCAATGGTTTTGGCTCCCCGTATGATTCAAACGAGTGAATACTGAACAAGGCACGAGGAAAGTCCGCCTCAACCCCATCAGAGAAGCGTTATCAGAGGGAAATGTACAACGTCATACTGTTTCATCAAGTCCCACAGTTTCCTAGTAACAACACTCAACAATGTCATCGAAATAATGCGGAGTTATGGGCAAAAGTTAAATCCAAGACGGCACTTGAACCCGTAGCTCCCGCTTACCGAGCAAGCGCGCTAACTCGCCCGACATGCAGGAGCTGCGGGTTCGGATCCCGTCTATGGTCTGACTTTTCCCCATAACTCAGTATTCTTGTAATAGTTTTCGAAGCGCGAACAGCGGCGTACAACTCGTAGAAAACCTCTGACAGGAACGATGTAGTCATTCCGCCTGCCGAAAGAAGAAAAAAAAACGGGTAGGCGCCGTACCAAAAGCAGTCGCGCTGACACGCCTCTTCATCCGCAGCTACCACGAAAATATGCCTGCACTGACACCAGTGTCAGAATAGGATGAGTGAGAACCCTTTCCTAACAAATTGATGGAGACAAGGAAACTGAGAATATGACTCCATATGCTCTCTGAACTTGTGGTGGAAGGCTCGACTAAAAGGGTGCAAGGCCTAAATAGGAACCAGTTTCCATATCTATTTACTTTATACTAACAGTGCAAACCAAAGAGCCGCTGAAAGTCAACCTCAACCCTCAAGATCTCTTGAATGTCATAAAAGAGTCATTCACATGCAGTCGTTCAGCATAGGCGTTCACACCCTATGAATTGCGAAATTGCACGAATAGAGGGAAGGTACGACCAAGGTGGGGGGGGGAGGGGAGGTTGCAAATCGATATCAAAATTCTGCGACTAAGGAGAGTTTTTCGCAAAGAATCGCGTGTTCTCCGAACCAATACGTACGTTTTCCGTTGCAACCCTTTCTGAGTGACTGGATCGAACTATGAAGTCGGCCTAAACTGAGGCCACCACTGCTAAACTGCCCACCTTCTTTATATCGCTCCGCAACTTCGCAGGTGAACTCATACAACCAACCCAGTTTGGTACCACAACAAAGACAGAACACATCTCGAACCTGGAATGAAAATCTCGGTTACAAATCGGCACAAGAACGGTACCCCAAGGACAAGATCGATTCAGCGATGTACCATATGATTTCCAGTTGTCAGTTTGCGCACCACAGGGCTTCCTTGACGTGTATTAGCAACTCGACGAAATAAAAACGCTCTACCGGTACTTCCTAAATAGCATACGGTAAGCAAGAGTATAGACAACCACGCTAAGCATTCCTCTACCACTAAATCGAGTAGATACGACTTCCTGTCTATTCGATAGATAAGTTCCGCACTTTTCACATGAGAATGTCCTTCGTCCGCCCCAGTGCTCGAAGAACTTACGAGGCATCTGTTGATAAAAAAACTACATATGAAAAGCATTTACATACGAACATTCATGTTTAGAGCAAATAACGTATATGCTACGGCAATAAGCCGCTGGTGCAACAGAACGATTAAAGAAGAATTTTTATTAAAGCGAAAAAGTTTGCAGAATTATAGTCACCGTTTGCAGCATTTCCGACTTCAAACTCATTAAACCACGAGACATCACAGCCACCCGACCACACCTGGCAATCACATTTGAAAAATATACATTTGAAAGAGTACGTTTAATACAAATCAAAAAAAATTCAGTGAGAACTCCTAAATAGAAGTTGACAAATATCCACCTTCTGATGGCTGACTGAAACTAAAATATAAAAAAGTGTCTACGTAGTTCATAGCTCCGTCATCTGATAACGCTCATTCATAAGCTAAGTAAATTCTAGTGGGGATTTGTGAAGCAAGAGGACGAGATGGTAGATGGGACACATGAGCACACTTCAAAAGGTGATTATTTCGAAAATTAGTCAGGGCGACTCCCGTACGGCAGAAGAAGTCCCTTGAGCAGCAGGTGCACTGGTGGCCAGGCCAGAGTCGGATCGTGACAAAGCGTTCAGGCGAATACCGCGACGTCCTCCGAATGTTTCGAATTTGGGAGATCTGGAAATCAGAAAGCGATAATAGTTTGATATGTTCTTACATGAGTTTTGGAAGGACCACAAAGCCCAAGTTCACCTAATTCATCATATGAAAGATTGCTTTACCAATCATGTTTCATGTCTCCATCAATCGATACTGAAACGGCCAGACAAAAGGAGAAAATATAGCAAAACAGCTGAAGAAATGGTATGATAAGGGTAGCCCGTTATAGAAATTTATCCTAAGCGATCATTCACGTTCAATCCTCCCCAGCAAAAGTCATCAAAATGACCAAGATAAGAGAGTATGAAAAACCTCCTCAACTCACCCTCAACAAAAATTGACTACCGCTTCAAGCGGGCTGCTAACACCGCCTATTCTGCTCGTTCATTGTTCCTTTTTTGGAGAACTCAACCATTGCTTAGTAGCAGTCTACGGTGAATCCCATGTGCGTTTTGTTAATTAATCGAATCACTACCCCATATTTTCAGAGGACCCTGTAAACACTTCATGTCCTTGTTCAACAAAGCCTATCACTTGCTGGCAATAAGCCTTTAACTAGACTTCATCATGAGCGTCGTAGAATGCATGCAGCATATAATGATGCAGGAGAAATTAAATTGTGGGGATGCTACTGAGATTTCGAGCGATTTATTGTGTAGTTCGCTGCAGAAGGTTGGGCGTGTCAGGAGATGAGTTTGGCGCGATGCCAAACACGTTCTCCACCAGTTGTTAAAGCGGTCAGTGATATGACTGTATCATATCGTTCGTATTACTCAATTAGTACCTTTTTGTCGCTTGCGCGCTTCAACAAGAAGATAGAGAACGGCTCCGACGGGGTGACACACTCATACTGCCTGACAGGCCCAACCGTCCGCAGCGAACTAGAGTAAACATGCGACTGCAGTTGGTATTGTATGGTATAGTCTGGTTCGTTATGAGCGAAGGGCGTGTGCTGGTTATGGAACACAGCGGAAACGCAACAGGTGAAAAGGACCGTCTAGACAACTACCTACAGTATTTGCTTCGTCTGGGGATAACAAGGAAACGGACCAATTGTGTTCTGGAGTGCTTTCTTCTTCCCAATATTCTGTTCTGCTTGTTTCTAATTGTTCGATGCGGATGATAAGGCGCGTCACGTGGGTGGGTTAGGTTCAGCACCAGGCCGTTTCTTTTCTTTTTTTTCTGGCAGCCCACAAAATTCTATCATAGCGTTCGGATCAATTGCATCACATCAGTTGTTGTCGCTCGCACGCCTCAACAACTGGTGGAGAACAAGCTGGCGGCACGTCAAACTAGCCGTTCTGACACGCCCCGTCAACCGCAGCGAACAACTGTACCATGTACTCATCCAACATATAAAACAGAGGGTCAACTGTGGACCGAAGGCAGATCCATTAGATAAGAAATCAATAAAAATGTCGATTCCCAAAAGATAAAACTCACGGAGGAGGCTGCTCATGTGTTTCGAGTGCTCCTGCCGGATCCGGGAAGCCGTCTTCTTCATCAATAAGTGCTTTTTCAAGAATAACACGAGCTTCTTTATAGCGTTGTGACTCTTCCATAGCAAACTCGTACATCCATCCTACTTTTTTCTAGAAGTAAGTTGAATAGAACTTATGCAATCACAACTTCATTCTCGTTTACTATCACAGATTGACAAAATTGGTTCAGGCGGAACTTACATGGCAAATTCTGCACATAACATCACGGACAATATGTTTTCCCGTCATCATATCACGATGCTGCGCTTCGGAGTAATCCAGATTCCAGGCTCGGTGAAATAACATTGCACGCCCAGACGATCCTGATTGAAACATGGTTAATCCGAAAGCAGAACGAAAGACAGTAAGATTGGTATGTATTGAGAACACTATGTCGGAATCCTTAAAGCAAAGATGACCTTATGTTATGACACTGTCAAATAAAAGAATCAAAGTATTTATAACAATCTCGAGAGCAAGGAAGGAAACGCTCGAGAGCCCAGGAGACAAGTGGGCAAAATATTATGGGCGTCACAAAAAAGGAAACATAACTTTACACAAATACGAAATCAACCTCCGACTGACTCTAACTACTCTAGTAACCTTGCCATCTAGAAGGCCCGAGTTACTTGAGCAACCAAGCGCTTTAATGCTCCCTACCTTACACCTTCGTGGCGCGAAAATGGTACTGTACACTGCTCCGGACTCCTTTTTCCACAACGAAGGTTTCGACTGTGACAAGCAATCGTAGAGTAAGCTTCAATAGTTAGGTTTTGGTAAGCTGGAACGACGTTACGCCCATCCGTGGCTCCCGCAATCTATAGCCCATACACCTGCCATGCGGCTCTCGGTTTTTAGTATCAGCACTGGCATTTAGGGGAGCACGTGCAAAAGAAGTCTGGTAAGTTGTCCGCCCTATCTCGCGGGCGGCAATGGGCGCGACGTTGCGCGACGTTCCCGTAATTTGCACCCTTTCGATTGTAGCATCGGATTTTATGTAGACAAGGAAAGGTAGTCCATTTTTGTCCATACATCCGTCTCGACCGACTATCGCCTAAAATCGTCGTCAGTTGGCGGCGGCGCGACGTCGCACACGAACGCTCACTGGCCGCGGCGAATCACATTCTCTGCCCATATACCTAAGAATCCGAGTGACAGCGGTAGACCAACCCCGAGCTCGGACTGTCGCAAAATCAGACTCAGAGCCTTCCCATACATCGTCGTGTTAGTTTTCGCTCCTTTCAAAATTTCCTCCAGATTGAAATAGTGTTCTTACGAATGGTTTATTCAACGTCTTGACTTTTCCAGCTCTGAGGAAGGCGAAAACGCCTAGACTTAAGAAGAATAAAAGTGGTTAACAATCTTGCTTTCAAGCTAAAGAAGTTCGACTTATACGAATAAATTATCCATTCTCTAACTACATCTTGCCGTCGATGTCATCCACAGGCTTTTCACTATCTTCGGTGAAATTCAACTTCCTCGATGAACGCATTTGTGAAACCCTCTTCAGTAGTTGACTGCTGGACAGAACTTCGTAACTGCCAAAAGATAGAATGATCGAGGACTGTCAACAGAAAGAGAAGCAATGCAGCTCCTCTCGGTACCTATCCATCACAGCCATCACTGCGAAACCGCAGGAAACTACTGCCTTTCTTGAAAAGAACTTGAGTACACGTGATATCTCAAGCAGTAGAATGAAAAGACCTTATAACGAGGCGGCTCTTGACTTGTTTTTCAGTTTATAAGGAAAATGTACAACAGGATTGCGTTTCGCCTTCTACCGCATGCACATGCACACGATTAGATTTCACAAGGAAACCAAACAGTTGGATGCCGAAACTTTAAAGAAATAGGTTCACTCTTTCAACTAAATTCATGGAAGTAAAACAAAAAGAATAAGGAGAACAGACTTACCTTGAAATCTACTCGAAATCAGCTCGCTACGATTTGTGAGATATGTCTTGCAAAACCGACACACAACCACTCGAAGACCACCTGCAGGAA